TGGTATAGTACAGTAAATTAGGCCAAGACCGCTTCCTTCCATATCCTTTCCTATTCATTATTTATTAATCATTCAGTCACTCAACGCTATGTAGGCTGGGCTACTGACAGGAGAAAGGGCACGTAAACTACTTGTGACTGATTTAAGCACAAGAGATATGAGAACATTTATTTTATCAATTCAGTCACGACGAAAAAGCAAATCATAGTCACTCAGATATTTCCGACTGAATTTGTCCCAGAGCAGATATTATGACACTGACATAAGCATACCTCTTAAGTGACGAAATAACATTTTGGATCTGCTTGCGTAATTCCAGATATGGGAAAATTATATATAGTTTTGGAATTCAGCAAAATAAAACCATCATTTTTTGATGCAACACAAAGGCCCGTCGTGAAAGTTAAACTTTGTACTCCATTAAAAATATTGAAATGGTGTATCAAGATTGTTTTATACAATAAAATAAACATTTTATCCCACACAGTATCAGTATTATAGGACCGTATATGATGTAATGCAATTATATAGGCGAGAGTACTTTTTATAGGGTGGATGACAACTATAGAGATGAACTTATTTTTTGGAATCATTTAATAAGGACAAAATGAAACTATTCTTTTCTTTATCTCTGTGTTCTGCCTTTAATTAACGATAATGAAAGATTTTTATTAAATTTAATATTAGATATTCTTGTACTTCCTAGATGTGAGAACGGTAACTTTCAAGTAGAACATATTGAAACATAAAATGCATGCATACATCAGTGCCCCGAACGGAAATCAAACGCGACATACCAGATTTAGTTTCACGCGACACGTGTATTTCCAAAGACAGGAGTGAGTAAAGAAATCACCAGTGGTATATTTTAAGATTAATTACAATCGAATAAATTCTCCTGAAAAAGGCAGGAGATACGCAGACGATGTGTGCCTGGTGATGTAATTTCATTGCTTAGGGAACACTTGATACTTAATTCCCAGTGCCAGACGTTTCTGTGTGGGGTCGATATGGTGTGCGTCTCTCGACGCGTAGTAACACAGCCAGAATCCCTGGGGCGTGGTCAACTCGCTTTCTAATGAAATGGTCTCTCTCTTCAGGCGGTCCGCAGTGGTGTTATATCCCGACTGATCAAGGAGTGCCGATGGCGCTCTGCGGAAACTCCACCTTGTAGACAAGTGAACTTCGATGGCCCCGAAGCGATAGCACGTACGGAGAGATAACCCATCCTTTCTTTGTATTATCGGATGTGACATTATTATGTGCGGGTTAAGGCGTGTGCCTGCATTGCAGTGATTTATAGTTCCTTTGGTTCACAAAATACAATGTATGAAAATGCCATCGATTCTGTCGAAATTAAAAGGGGAAACAATTTTTTCACTTGGACATGCCACGGTGGTCTAGCGGTTAGAACGCTGGCCTTGTAATCCTGGGGTCTCGGGTTCGATTCCCGGCCGTGCTCGAATTTATAACTTGTGTTGGGCAAGGCCGTGGTCTAGGCAACACGGAGTTTTCCTCCGGGGGCTTCCCCGGTTTCTCCGTGGCATCCCAACAATTACTCCATTCACACACAGAAGAAGGCAATGGCAAACCACTTCTGGATCATCTTCCAAGAACGTATATGAACAGGTCCCAGTCCGAGAAAAGGATGGAAGGATCCTGTTCATATGGACCTGTCGTCAGACAGAACACTAAATAAATAATATAAAATAAATACTGTACGTACTGAGATAGTCTTTGCCGTCTTCCTCCCCCTTTGCCACCTTCATCTTCCCTTCCCCTCTTGCTACTACGTCATTTATCATTCGTAGGACCACATCATAATAATTTATTTTCTGTAATGGATGTTTCCCTACTCCCATAGTTTATCTTACTCGCATTTTTGTACCTAGATTACATACGTACATTTCAAATGGGGTATTTTTGTATAGAAAATGTATTCAGTAATATGTTCTGAATTGTCTGTAACAAGGTTTCGCTATTTAATTTGTTTTACATTTAAATTAATTAACGCATTGCCAATATGCGTAAGGCAAATTTTCTGTTATCGCCCGTCGGACGATGACATTTTGTGTTCTGGATCGTGCGCATGTGCGTATAGTCTTTTCAGCGCATTTTTTTAGCATGCGTGTCTGTTGCGGTTTATGGTAGTGAAACTATGGAGTTGTCAAGCTTTGTATCAGTTCAATTAATCAAAGAAATTGTAATACCAGAACACACTAAAATGAGATCATCATCTGATGTCATGTCAAGAACTGAATTGCTCCTGAATGTAGACTGTCTGCCTGCAACTTGTAAAGAACAGAATGTCCCATGCAGTTCCAAACACATGTTCTCAGTGTAAATGCACGTTATCTCTTTTCGGTTTTATAAGTTCATAAATATATAAACATTTATCTCAAGTACCCAGTTCTTATATTAATCCTTACATTTTCTTTCCAGTTTGATTTTTCTTTCAACATTCATATTTGACGAGTGAATTGAATTTCTTCCATATTGGTCTCATTATCACCTCTGCTGTATTTGAACTATATGATTCTTTATTCAAAACGGGCTCATCATACGTAACATGAAATACAGATTACGAGATACAGCATTTATTTTAAACATTTTCCAGAGGTGTATCTATCTTGGGGTAGCTCAGTCAATGTTGTGACTTACTATGAACTGGACGACCGGGGTTTGATCCCTCTAGGCTGTGCATCCAGACCGGCTCTGGGGTCCATATATGTATATATATCCCTGAGAATTTAGGGAAATACAATTATCCTCTGAAGATGATTGTGTCATGGGCCTTGCTGCCTCCATAATCAGGGCGATGAGCCCTGGTGATGGAGGCAGCAAGTACCTCTGAAACGTTCGTAAACTTCACGGTGCTACATCCCAGAAGATAGCTATATTCGGACTTACCGACGTGAAAACCTATTTGTGGAGACAGTTCCATTTTTTAAAATGATACATGAAAACTGCGGAGAATCTCAGTTAAAATAATCGGCTTTGGACGAAATTCGGGACACGCCGATTGTGCTACGGACTGATATATGTAACTGAGCGCAGAATTAGATGCTCGAATTTGTAGAGAGAGATTGGGTGTTAGAGATGTTAATCACTGCTGCTGGAGATGGTATGTGGGCCCACTGTTGAAAGCGTTTCCGATCAATTCGTAGCGTGGGTTTGTTTCTCAAAGCAGAATGATTTAGACTAACCAAGTTGTATATTCATTACATCAGATTCCCATATCTTGACGCGCAAATGGAACGAACAGATGATGGCCGAAAATCTGTATCCAGTATTCTACTGAGAGTTCCTTTATACCCGGACTGTTTTTGGTGCCTGATACCTAATATGGGCGCCAGGACCAATACCCTGAGCAATGATACGCACTAAAGATAAAAAAGTGGCAAGTAAGCCATGGTATTTAAGGACCTAATCGGGGCCTTTGTGATGTAATTATGTAATGTAATGTAATTTAAAGACGCGTGTAGTGGTGTGATACGTGCGGTCCGGGGTAATGGCCTCAAAAACCAACATCATGGATAATTTCTTTGCTTCAGAATGCTACTTCACAATACACAACGCAGGAATACAATAAAAGTACGTTTGATACGTGCTCTTGTGAACTTGACTCGAAGTATAATTACTGTAAGTTGTGATAATTATACCAGGATAAAATAACTCCATGGAGAAAAGATATTTGGAAGGTAAATATTACTGTAATCTGGTCAAGAAATTACCCGCCTTTTATGGAACCCCAAGGTTCATCACCGTGCTTACAAGAGCCCGCCACTATCGACCCCTGTTCTGAGCTAGATGAATACAATCCACACACTTTAAACCCTATTTTTCTAATATGTATTTTAATATTATCCTTCCATTTACACATAGATCTTCTGTGTGCTCTGTTCACTTCCGACTTTCTAACTAAAATTTTGTACACATTTTTCATCCACTCCCATACACTACATGACCCGCTTATCTTATCTGCCTTGATTTTATTACTTAATATCTGGTGAAGAGTGCAAACTACAAAGATTCTAAGTAGGATTTTAGGTTCTCACGGCGGTAAGTATGATGTCTGGTAGATGAGTAACATTTCATCTCCCTGATGATGGAGGCAGCAAGGACCTCTGAAATATCGGTAAACTTCTACCAGCCTGCACGGAACAACAACCCATACGACAGCCATCTTCAAGAAAATTGTAGTTTTCCCTTGTAACTTGCCCGAAACGTCTTGTCGTCAGTTATATTTCGCTGTACTTCTTTCTGATGGGGACAGAGCCTGTATCGGACATAAAGCAGTTAGTCAACATATCAGGCTTATGTAATGGCTTTTACCTGACTAGCAGATATTTAGCGTGGCGTTATGCAGGGTGTCCCAAATGATGAAAACACACATTCAATTAATGGAATAAAGACATTTTAATAAAGGAAACCATTATTTAAGTCAGCATTGGCACTTAGTAAATTAACGAATCTAGTGTAGGTGTTGAAAATGACCACCGGTAGCTTTGTGGCGCATTTGACAGCGATGAACAACTGACTGACAAGCTGCCACCAAAGTTGCTGCTGTGTATACATATTTTTGGGATAGTCTGTACATTTTGGCAATATAAGGACGTTGATGATACAACACTCACGAAGTGACGTAACATGGAGTTTACATGGGCAGCAAATTAGTTACCTTCTCTGTTCTCAGATTCCTTCCAAGACCGAATGAGACATTCAGACACTGAAAACTGAGTATTAAAACCAAGGATTAATTATTATGTAGTGCACTGTTTCAAGATTTGTGTCCTAATTTTGTCGTAATTTTACAGAAAGAAATGTATAAAATTTATATATCTAATGTTTTTTTTACAGAACAGGAGTTTTCTTCAACGAAACTTTGTTAAAGTGACGTAATGTTTTTGTACCATTAACATATTGGTGGTGGACACGGGATTCTGTTGAAGTTTAACATGTGATGCGATGTAAGTAAAAACGGTCTCTTTTGCCTTAAGACGATGCCTGCCGTGGTGCGGAGCGAGAGGATGAGATGGAGGAAGTGTTCTCCACGGGAGAGGGAAGTGGCGAGACCACTGATGCTGCAGCTCCAGCGAAGGGATCAGTCTCAGCCAGCCGTCGACAGAGGCAGCAAAGGACACTGCAGAGAACGGGTGTCGGGCGCGAGGAACCAGCCAATCGGAGATCGGCGTCCACGTTTCGCCCTGAAAGATCTTGCAGAGATCGATGCGCGAGACTTCGTCAAATGAATTCGAAGGAACTTTCGTTTTATTTTGAATGCTGAATTGGTAGCAGACCGATATCAGGAAGTGATAATTTCAACATCACCAATCAATCAATCGCTTTGATTTGATCATGTTACATCCGACATTTTCGTGACATAATCTTCATCTGGAATACAGTGCATTTGAATCACTGCAAAAATTCGGGTTTTTAATTTTACGATATTGAAGATTTCGTTTCTTGGTCTGGCGAAAATCGACTTGTTTTTGTGTTTTTTTTATATATGGAAGGAACTGAGTTATACCTGTTTATGCACGATAAGAGGACGTTTTATGCTGAGTACTAACCAACGTCAGTGCAATTGATTAGAGACAAATTAAGTTTTGTTGTTGCAAGTATTTACACGGACCTGATAGTCAGTTTTATTCTTGAGTGAGAGAACTGTGGATGTTCCGATTTATCCATCGGATGACTTTGTTGCGTGACGTAATTCCTCGTACACGTGCTTGAACGCTGTTGACTACTGTGGTTCGGCATGCGTCTGCCTTCTTTGATCACTGCGCCAGTCGCAATTAGGAAGAAGGTCTGGGCTACCCTGGATCTGCCCAGCGCCGACACTACGATGGTGTGGTTCTTGCTGTTCTTGGCCTTCGCCCCCACGCGAGCCATACAGTACCCTGGACAGGGCTTAGACGTCGACAATGCTCTGCAGCCAGCACCCGCAGGGGGGTAAGTCAGTTCGATCACTTTACTCACTTCCCTAATAACCACGTCCTGAAGAAGGTATGAGAAGAAACGAACAGGAGGAAACAAAAAATTTAGATGAAAAATTACGAGATTAGTAGTAACTTGTAGTAGCTTCGATTCCATGTATGAATCTGAGGTTTATGACCCTCCTTTTTTACGTATTTATTTGTAAGAATGAGGGTAACACAGCATAAACGCGGTTGGATAAAGTGGACTTGAAGAAATGGGCAGTTTTAAACAAAACAAAAAATTTACTTTACAGAATTGTTTTGCAGATTTCAGTCCCTGGTCGTTTTGCGTAAGTGAATAAGTAACTTATTTTTGTCTGTGGTGTGATAAATGGCGACTTTCAAGACAGTTTAGCTGATATGACTGAATTGTGTGTCTTGTCCTGAAACTATTGTTCGTTTTGACTTCGAGCGATGAAATTGATATGCTTCTTACTTTCTTTCTTTTGGACGTATACATATTCTGTTTTAAAAGGTCTTTCAAAAATTTAAAAAAAAACTTCAAAATTCACTATGTTTCAACGGATTGATCTTATTTTGTCTTCAGTTAAATAGGGGGAAAACATCTGTTTGATCCGTTAGACCGAGGTATTCCCAATCTGCGGACAGATTTGTGAACTTGTAAGACTTAAAAATATATACGGATGAATATAATCGCCAAAGACATTCAGAAAAGAACGTAATGTTTTCAACACACGCTCTTAACATAACAGATTCCTTTTCAGTATGATTTAAATCTTCGATGACCTAGTTTCGTTCTAAGAATACCCCTAGAAACCGTATTATATAGTTCAAATAACCGAGTACATAAGGTTTAGGACCACACCTACGTATTCTGAAGCGTTTATTTTCTAATACGAAGACAATGGATGCAGCAAGCTACTGGGTCCTTGCTGGATGCTGTATTTTTCTCCGTCTCTTGCCTTATAGTTACGTTCTATTCGTGTGGAATGCATGAAGATCACTGTTGAAATTCATTTGAGTTGTAATGCCTTGAGACTTGCAGGAAGATACACGCATTTGGACGTACGTCTATCGAGTCTCATATATTGTGAAGTTCAAGATAATTTGTCGCACATGGTATTGGATCTTGACCTTCTGAGTGTGCAGTAGGACTATAGCCTTGTGGATTAATTTCCTACGCAGAGCCTAAATAGTTTCACAGCAATAGGTCTATATTATTTAGTGTTGTTGAACCACACGTTACACTTGAACTTTTGTACGTAATGGAGGATTATGCTAATTTTTGCGTTTTGTTACTTATTGGAGACGGCAGTTCTTTGTGGCATGGTTTTAAAGATATAACAAGGTTAACAAATGCTTGTGGAACTGATTGACTGTCTACTGGGTTGGCATGGTTTGGTAGAAATTTACCGACGTTTCAGCGGTGCTTACTGCCTGTATTATCAGTGTTATTGCCTCGATTATGGAGGCTGTAAGCACTTCTGAAATGCCGATAAACTTCTACTAGTCTACACAGCGCAACAAATCAGAAGAAAGAATTCTTCATACTCGCAGCCGTGAGAACCTGAAATCTTACTGTAGATAAACAAAACCGAAGTCGTTAGGGGTCTGAACCCGCGACCCTCCAATGAGTTTTTTGTGCCTGGTGTACGTTTTTGTTATAGTACTAAATCGTCCTGTATGGTGAAGGAACCTCCTAAGTTAGCTATTGTTTTTCAGCGAACAGTTAATAAGAATAACACACCTACACATCTCTTAAAGAAGTTAATGAGTAATGGATTTGTGTGAGCTTGTAGCAATTTTAGCCCTATGAAGACGAAGACCATCCAAGTAACATTTAAAACCCAGTCCGTACCTAAAAGAGAACCCTACCTTTTTTCATTACGAAAATCGACAATTTAATAATGCTGTTTACAGAAACAATTCCTGTTTTCATTGAGAATTATAGGAAGTCCATAAATATAATATTAAGTGTTACTAATTGTTAAAGCAGGTGGTATATATAGTTACCAATATACTTAGAAGGGTTAATAAATTACCGTGAATGTTGTCTCAGGTCTTAAAAAGTTGATAATCCTTGCCCTAGTCCTGAATCTTTGATGCAGTGCACTGATATTTCCTATGAGATATCCATGAAGACTTATTGGCAATATATATTCGGTGTTTTATTTTGCACTGTTAGATTATAGTGAATTATGAACAGTATAGCTGTCACAAAGGACGCCTGAAGCAGGATGTTTGCTGTTGAAGATCGAACCCCGGATCATGTGGACGGGATATACAGATGATAAGTACACACAGCATTTGATCGGTTGTCAGCTGATATTGCCAAATGAAGCAAACATGTTGACAAGATCCAAGTGCATGGTTTAACTTCTGCGACTTATCAGTCCCCTGATCTTGTGGCTGAGTTGTTTTATTCATATGACGAGAAACAAGGAACCTCATTGCATATTATAGGATTGTTTTATAATTTCCATACTTATAAGCTGTTACATTTGTGTGTTTGTTTTGAAACATTACCAAATTTTATCTGGAAGAATAGAAAAATACATAAAGAGGAGCTCCATCATTTATATTCGTCATAGAATATAATTATGGTGATTAATAATTTAATTTCCATTGATAACTAAATGCTCCATTTGATTTACGTAACAATTAATAACTGTAGTAGTTTGTATTTATGGGTATTGTATAATTCTGACTTTAAACAGCGATTAATTCTTTAACGGCATCAACAAATTGAACTTTGTGATGGTGAAGTGTGGTGTTTCATTAGCTGTAGGTGCTGAATTATTAAACATTATTTAGGGGAGCTACGCGATATAAATTTATAAAAAAATTTCCCAATAAATTGCTTACTTAAATTCCTTGCATTATAGTTTCAATATTTATCAACAAGCAATTCAAAATTTCTCCGTAAGCTGTTACTACTTGTCACCCTAACGTCTTCACACTTATTACAGCGTTATCAGAAGGACGAGCGGGCATTGCTTGGGAACCTTTTAAATATAAGACGCTTTTTCTCGGCCCCTCCTGAAATTAAGTGTCTCTCACTTCTCGCCCACAATATTATCTTCGTTTTTACGCTTTTGATATCCTTCATAATTCTTTCTCTCTTGGAAAGAGGTTAAATGAAGGATGAGATAGGTGAGATGTGTAGTGCACGTGGAAAAAATGAACTCTAAGTTCTGGTTGGAAGATTTCAAGGAAAGAGACCATTTGAGAGACTTGGCGTAAATGAAAGAATGCTTTTAGAGATCTTGAAATTTCAGGTGTGAGAGTCTGAACTTGCCCAGAGTAAAGTACAGATAATAATGCACCTTCGAGTTCTATAAAAGTAAAATGTTTTATGCACAGTTGAATTACTTTTGTCTTCTGTAGGAGACTCCGTGTTGTGGATTTATCTTCAGCGTGTCCTTTATTTTTACAGTAGATATATTGATTCGTTAGCAACTGGACATTTCATTGCGTCTAATTTTAGCCTATTTTAATTTATTAAGAAAATAAACTTGGCTAATGAAGTGGTCATGCTGTCTACGTGTGTTTCCCCTTTCGGTTTTTGAACGAATTCTTCAATTTTTACGAAGATTGTTGTGGAGTTGTGCTGTTGGAAATTACGGAGGGTATGTGCCATCGAGTGATCATGAACGTAGTCATTCGTGTTTTGAAAGTTGCAGGACAGAACGGTGATCATATTGATTACGAAATCCATAAGTGATAAACCTCCATGAATCGTTATTTGTGTTCAGAGAAATATATATACCATTATGTGAGTATTAACGTTTTTATTTATACTCGATCTGGTATTATTTCATGAGTCGCTTGGTACATAGCAGGAAATTGAGATATTTTTAACATTTAAGAATTTATTATATGAAGTATTTGTTGATTTTATGCATAACTGACTGAACTAACTATGTTTTTAGAATTTGATAGATGCTCAGCTAATCAACTTCAACTCAATATGTGCTCTTATATTAATCTGAAAGACCACGTTTTAGGCCTGAATGAAATAAAATATAAATTATAGTTTTGTGTAGTTTAATCTTTACATTTTTAGTGGACATGAAAACCAGTGGTGAAATTCATATGATCGTTAGATCGCGCCGACACTTTATTAGGTATTACTATTATTAGTAGCGTAGAACGACCCGTCAAATTTGACGGGAATAAACCTCTTTTTGTGTTGAACTATAATACAGTTGACTACTGCATTATCTTTGGGTTAGGAGACATTGTTTGTTCCATGGTTTGGTATTTTTCACCTTTAGGTTAAAGTAAAGAAAGAGCGCATGGGTTTTGAGATTACGTCGTACGTCTTCTTTTCGCTAATTGTTTCCTCTCTTGTCAAAGATACTCATCATGAAAGTACGAGGACTATAATTTTGTTTCTGGAGGGTATCAATTTTCATCGGAAAGGGTGTGGCATAGATGATCTCTCGTTGTTCTAAGTGGGTAAAAGAAGAAGAAGAAGAAGAAGAAAGAGGCTGTATTAACCCTCGTCTTTTTGAACGTGAAACTGCTTCGTTGAATATGCATATAAGAGACTGTGTCATTTCTTTGATCTTTGTTACACGATGTGTTTTGCTGATGAGAGTAAAACTTGCAACGCTAATGGTGTGCTTTGTCTGGTTTTGTTAAAGAATTCAGTCCGTACCTCAAAGAAAACGAGAATTTGTCATTGCGAAGATTAACTGGTAAATGTAATTTAAGGAGAAAATTCATGTTTTCATATGAAACTCGTAAAACAAATTATAGTAATTGATTGTTAAAACAGGTGGCGTTATACAGAATGTCGCAAATGACGTATACACACATTCAGTGAATGAAATAATGACATGTCAATAAATGAAAACATTACATACGTCAGCGGCATTTGGTGAATTAACTAATCTTGTATATGTGTCCAATACAACATGCTGAGCATTGATCAACGACGACCGTGGTATCGCAGGGAGACATCTTCGTGTTTTCTCTGCAATACGTCACGTCCTATGACCCTTTGGT